AATATAAAAGCAAAAATACACCTATACAAGTATCTACTATGTACAAGTACTATACAATATATATACAATGGAGACTAAGAGACTAATAAGCACTAGTACAAAATACCCTTTTTACGTTGGGTATTTGAAGCTTTTTACGTCGGAAACGCAACCGACGTTAATACGGGAGACGTAAATTTACGTCACCTAGAAAAGACGACGTAAATTTACGTCGAAGATACCTTTAGCCCGACGTAAAAAAGGGCTTTGGAAGGGGAAAACTAACGCGTCAATTTACGTCGGACTATACCTTGTCTGACGTAAATTTACATCAATCTGTGCTAGGCCTGACGTAAATTTACGTCGGACAAGGTATAGTCCGACGTAAATTGAGGCATACAAACCTCTAAAATATTCTATAAAAACCTCTTTAATTAATTAAAATAACTATAAAAATAATCTTTATAAATATATAAAAATAGATAATAATTAATATTATAATAGTAAAAATTCCAGGGTGTTACATTTTTGTTATGTGTATGGGTTGATTGTCATTTGCAAGATTAAACCAAATATAGGAAAAATAAGTTTGTTAGTGGCAAAGCCTTGTGGTTTAAGGATGGTTACGAGATCTTACTTTAATAATGTGATATAAGGACTTATGAGATTTATGTTTCCTCAATTAAGTATAAAGTTTAACTTATTTTATGATATTTTACGTTTTATGTTGAAAGTTGTGTAGAAAGATAATTTGTATCTTATTTTTAACTTATGTGGGTATTTGATTATCTTTATATTAAAGAGGTTTTAATCCAAGTATTGTGAACCCTTTTATAAAAGAATTATGTCAAAGTAATTTATAATGATTTAATTTAATTGTCTCCTTTAAAAATAAATTTTTTTATTTATTATGTTTTGAGGTAGAAAGATGTCATGTATGACTTATGATTATTTGACTTTGAAAAACTTTTTATACTTTCAAAACTCATCAAATAAACTCTAATTTTTAATTAATATCTTTATAATATTAATTAATAATATCCTAAATTTTATATTTTCACTAATAACATATTAAAAATTACTATTTAAGTAATTAAAATATTTAATAAATTGAATTAAATATTTTTATCACAAATTTTAATACACTTTCAAAAAAATCAAATTTAAAAATCTTAACTATTCAAAACTTAAATAATCTAACTTTAAAATCCTACCTTAGTGAGCATATATACTGAGAGATTCATTAGCAGCAAAGTGAAATTCCTCTAGTAGAATTATATTGATCCTTAGCTTAATAAGTAAAGTCTTAGATCATATTGGACACTACTAAATGTTAGCTAACTATTAAATGAACGATAATGTTTTATTTAAAAATTTTCAATATGTCATTGATTCTTTGTTTGATAGTTTTGGGATTATCATCCCACATCCACCATTTTATGCAAAAAAAATTTTAAAAAAATACTATACATGTATTAAAAGTTGAATCACTAAGTCAATCTGATAGTGAAAGAATTGAAGAAACATGCATGAGATTTTAAATTGGAACATCATTATACACACACAAAAAATATTAATTAAAAGTAAATTCTTAATTACTATCTTTGGAATACTCATCAATGATATCCAAAATTTAATAATTTCATTAATAACAATTTAAGTAATTAAAAATATTTAATAAAGTGAATTGAATATTTTTATCACAACTTTTAATACCCTTTTGAAAAAATTAAATATAAATTTATTAGGAGAGTGATGGTACAATACTTATATTTATAAAGAATATAAATGTAGTTTATTTTATATTTTAACATATAAAGAAAAAAAATATAATACTTGTATTTCTCAAAAGTTTAATTTACTTTAACGAAGTTTAATTAAATGAACTAAATTATATATTTTAATATAAGAGAAAAAATGGTGTAATATACTATTATCTTTCAGAAAAAAGTTGTGTAATTTACTCAATTATTAATTAATACTTGTTATTTTTATGCTTAAAATATTTAATACAATATATTTATCATTGTTTAGAATAAATAATATATAAACTAACACTACAAAAAATGTTACATATAGTGACATACAAATAGTAACATTATAATACAAATAGTATCATTATAGGTATGATATATGTAAGTATATATCTATTTGATATATAGTATTATACACAAATTTTAGTGTTGATTTTGAATAAGATTTAACAACATATTTTATGTATTGGTATAGTTTATATCTACGAATATGTATTACTATATAACAATTTTCTTGAAGTGTAACATTGTCATCATCTAGTCATTAACCATTAAATTGGCCTAACTAATAACAGAAAAGGTTGAAATATATACAGGAGATCGAACATCATTGTGAAAAATGAAAAAAAAAACTATTAAGTTATATCAAGTAAGATTTATAATTATTATTTGAACATATAAAAACTTTTATAGTTACGATTCTTATCAAATAAACCCTATTTCTTAGCTAATATTTTTAAAATATTCATTATAATAATATCTTAAATTTAATAATTTCATTAATAAGAATTTAATAATTACTATTTAATTAATTAAAAAATAAAAAATGTGAGTTGGATATTTTTATCACATATTTTAATACACTTTTGAAAAAAATTTAAAAAAACTTGACTTATTAAAAACACCTTTAAATTTAAGGTAATTAATATATATATAAAAAAAATCTACTCCTTACTTGGTCATATGTATATTATTTTTAATCATAGAAAAAAAATTACAATGACAATAAGATTTCAATTTAGGACCTTTCTCATACTACTTTAACTCTACTAGTAAAAATACTTATAAAAAAATATTTTTTTAATCAACAGAAATTACAATGACAACAACTTGGTAATTATTTGGTCATATAAAATAATTAATAAGATAGCATTCTCTTATTTATAAATAGCGTAATGTTTTTCAATGTAACATTAATTAATTCTTTTTCATCAATATCTCTAACAATAAATGTTATTGTATAACAATACTATTTAGTAAAAAAAATTAATAAAAAAAGTTAATTTTGTAAAATTATTATTTTATTTTACTTGTTTATTAACTTTTCTTAATTTGTGTTGAACAACACTTATTAAGAAAGAGAGTAAAATTTATCAATAAAATTAATGAAAGTGAGTAAAGAAGAGTTATTATCCTTTACAAACCGCATTTAATTTTATTTAAAGAAAAATTTTACTACTAGAAAAGTATCATATTTCTGCGAATTTTCCTTAAAAAAAATATTTGCATAAATGTTTTGCGAATTTTCTTGCAATAAAATTTTACAATTTTTTTTACGAATTTATTTGCAAAAAATAATTTATAGATATTTCTTACAATTTTTTTATGAAAAATAATCTACAAGAAATTTTTGCAAATTTTGTTACAAATTTTAATGATCATAGAAATTTTTTTCCATGGTAAAAATTTGCAGAAAATATTGTAAGAATTTTATTTTATTTCTTGCAGATTTTCTTGCAAAAAATAAATTCACAAGTAATGTTTACTAAATGGTAAAAAAAATTCACAGGTAACTTTTCCTGCGAATATTCTTGTCAATTTTAATCCGCAGGAAAAATTAAAAAAATATTTAAATTTATAAGTAATATTTTTGAAAAAACTTCAAGTCCTACATCGATTGAAAATAAAACAATTAAAGAGTATATAAGTTGGGGGAACACTTACCATATAAGTTGATTTGTATGGTTGAATGTTTGACTTATAATCTACAATCTTAGAGTTTAAAAAATTATGTATCACATGTTGAAGGGGAAACAAATATTTCAGATGAATTCATTGTGAATATTTGAAAGTTGAAGAATTATTTATAGAATTTTTAGTAATTTCTTTGATTTTTTTCGTAAAAAATATTTCAGGAGAATTTCTTGCGAAAAAATTTACAGGAAACTTTTCTGCGAATATTTTTTTGCAGGAAACTTTCCTGCAAATTTTTTTCGCAAGAAATTTCGCAGGAAAATTTTCTTGCGAATTTTAAAATTTGCAAAAACATATTATCCATGAAGATATTACCTGCAGATAAAATTTCGCAAAAAAAATCGTAGGAATAATGTTTGTCACGAATTTTAATACAAAATTTGTAAAAAAAAAAAATAAAATCGAATGTAATAAGAGAAATTCTAGTAGTGATTCTTGATAGTTAATAATGAGAGAGAAGGTAATAAATTAATAGTTGTAACATTGAAGAAGCAACCCCACGGTTTCTTTATAAATCCATGACCGAAGCATAGTCTCTACACTCCAACTCCATTCCCTTTTCCTTCAGTTTGGCAATTCTTTGTATATCGTTCTTAGTTTTCATCATTTTGCTTTCTCTTTGGTAAATAAATTGTAGTGAGTAAAAAGGAGTTAAAATATCCTTTGCAAACTGTATTTATATATTTTTATGCTTAAAATATTTTTTTAATTTTTATAGTTTTACTTATTTTACTTTTTGGTTCTTACAATCTAAAATAGACCTTTTTAATTCTTATATTATTATCTTTGATCCTTTTTTTATTTATTACTTTTATAGTTTAAAATAGATATTATTGTTCTTATATTTGTAGTTTTATAATCTTTTTAGTTCTCATTGTTAATTTTTTTTATAACATTATCTGTTTTGTATTGACTTGATAGAAATATTAATTTAACTTTTTTTTATGTTTGGTGTTAGATTTATTTTGTTGAATTACTCTAAATTAGATCTCTTGACACTTTATGTTAAGTCAACACAAAATAGACAACATTATAAAACAAAATTAATGAAAGGACTAAAAAAATTAAAAAACTTGCAAGTACAAAAACTGATTAAAAAAAATTATTTTAAATTATAAAGACTAAAATTAATTAAAAAAATAAGTATATAAACTAAAAATATCTATCCTAAACTGTTAAAATACAAAAATAAAGTAAGTGAAACTATCATAATTAAAAAAATATTTTAACCTATTTTATTCAAAAGGAAAAGAAAAAAAAAAGTCACAATAGTTATACATGAGAGATCAATGTATGATTTGCAAACAATTTCTTTACAAAGTAAAAAATCAAGAGCAAAGCACAGTCTCTAGACTCTTATTGTTAATCCAACTCCATTCACTTTTCCTTTCGTTTGATAACTTAACGTATATTGGTCCTAATTTTCCTCGTTAGGTTTCCTCTTTTGATACCTTTTGCCATCTTCGATCTATTGTTGTTTTTCTAGTTAAATTGATCCTAGTTTTAAATTGCTGTTTGCGATATGCGTGTTATTAAAGTAAGATTTCACTAAGAAGGAAGATCTTTTGATGAATTGTTAGATCTGTGTTTGTTGTTCTACGGTTTATTCAGTTTTTGTTAATTTTTGCTGAAAATTGATTGTAAATCTAGGTTAGTTTCTTTGAGAACCAATGGAGGGATTGCGATCTCCAACAAGACTCAGGAGATTGAAGAGTGGTGAGATGAAAGATAGGCCTTGAATTTAATTAAATCCTCCAAACGATGGACAAAAAGATAAGATTCTCTCCTAAGAGGAGGCAGGCTAGGGTGGACAACCCTTTCAATGTTTTGCGATTTGTATGAAAATTTTATGCAAGATATGAGTACTTTCTATTTCTCCTATATTTAATTAAATTTTATGCAAGATATGAGTACTTTTTTTTAGTGAATATGAGTTCTTTCTATTCCTTCTATTTAATAAAATTTGCCCTTTCTGATTATAAAAGAATATATGTACGGATATCTGAAAGATCTTTTTTTTTTTCCCTTGCAGACACTTCGATCAGGTGACTGGCACCGTAAGTGTAGTCCTTGCAAATTTTGTGGGTTGCATGATGGAAAGCAAAAGGACAGCTCTGAAGGTATATCCTGTGCAGATGTGTATTCTTTTATCAATAAGATACTCATTTATGAAGTTATTTTCTTTCCCCACCAAAGTTGAATACTAGTTTTAATCTTAATTTGTTGATCACCAGTCCTGTCTCAAGTCCATTGGAGCCAATACTGCTCATTCTTAACAGGATTCTTATATATGTGGAAACAATTGTAAAAGGTATGATCTATTTATTTCCTTTTTTCGAATCTTGATTGCTGTATGTAAATTTATTATGTTGTTGTAAAGTAAGTTATTCTGTCATAGTAAGTTGCATGTGTTAATCTTCCGATTTTTGCGATGGTGGCCACAATTTAAAAAGCTGTCTTGTTTTACAAGATATTCATGTTGTAATATGATCTAAATTATTATTTTGACTTTCTCTAAATAGGATTTTCAATATCCTTTCCTCTTTAGGATTTCTCTCTTTGTTCGATTTGGACATACGCACACTTCTGAACTCTTTTTAACTGTACAATCTATATTTTCTATGTTTCATTTTTTTTTCTTTCTAATTTTTATCTATACTATTAATATGAAGAATTCCTTGTATGAGATTAAATAAAAATTTTATTATAGCTTATGAAAATATGAAAAAAGAAGCTTGTTTATTTGTTTATTTATTTTTATTTATTTATAATATTTAAATGGTTTAGACACATTCCAACCTCATAAACTTGTTTACAGGCCATTATACATATGTTGGCTGTTGATTTATAACTTGAATAGATTGACTTGGCAAATAGTTTGCTTTGAATTTGAAATTAGTCATTAAACTTATTTTCAAAAAGAAATATAGAAAATCACATAATCCTCTTTTCACTTTATTTTGTTTTTTTTTATTATAATTTTTTTTTATATATTTTCCATTTTTTTAAATGACATGTGAATGTATTTGACCTTCAATTTTGGGAATATATTTCCAATTATTTTTGTTTAGCAAAAAGGTATTGTATCTCCTTCCTCTCAAAAGGAATAAAAAAAATAGAAGAAAAAAATTAAAAAAAATGAATTCAAATACAGAGTTTTCTTATATAATTTCTGTAATGGGATTTTATAAACTTTGTGCTAGATATTTTTTCAATATACACTATGCTAATTTAAGATAAAGACATAAATGTAGGTTTTGAGGTATATTATTTATATGTAGCCATCTAAACTTGTCTTCAGAATGAAGAAGGGATCAGTGCTTCCACTCAAGTCTCATTTGAGGTTCTTGATAAGTAGAATGAAGAATAGATAACTCTCCTTTGGAGAGGAGGTTTAAATATGTTGTACAAGGCATTAAAATAAAAATAAAATGCACTGAAAAGTTATTTTTTAAAATGTTATCCAAACTTGGATATTCACATTTAAGTAAGTCAAAGGATCATATTATATTTCATGCATATGAAAAATCTAATATCTGTGTACCATGTGCGGTGGTAATATATCTTGGTCTAGTCAAACATCAGCCGCTTGGATTGTAAGAGATTTGTTACTGCTATTTTACAGAGAAATGATGAGATTATCAGCGTTGCATCTATCAGGTATAAATGTCTATTTAAATTTTAAATATGTTTATAAATGTTTTCATGCAAATTAAATGACGTGTGATTAATAATTAGTATGCCTGTGCTCAAAGCGAAAATTAGATATATATTCATCTCGTGAGCCCGAACAATGATTAGTTTATTTTCTATGGTGCTTTTTTTTCCAGCTGTATGGTATTGGAGTATTTGAAAATGATGGGTAGATAATATACTCCATGTGAGTACTTAGAAAAAATAAAGTAAAAGAGAAAAAATATAGATACCATAAATGATATGATGTTATGAGAAAAGGGAAAAAAATAACTAGTGAGTATAGAAGGATATGAAATCAATCACAACATATTGACTTTTACTTACTTGGATTTTAAAGGATATGTGTATTCATATTACTCTTGGATTTTAAAGATTTGGTTAAATATCTATGATTCTTATTCCAGCCATCTGATTGTGGTGGGCTCATAGCTAACGTTATTTGCCTCTTTTTGAGGTTTTGCGGTTGTTTTGCAGCCATATTTATTGTATTTATTTTTTCAATTTTTTTATATTAATGATCACAAGGAAATTGTGAGTACAAATTAAAACCGATCATTTTGGTTTTGCGCTTCAAAATTAACTTACGTTTTATATGGCTATTGTTGCTATTTGTCTGCCACCCAACTTTCTAGAAGCCTTGTTATTGGTCATACCAATCGTCTAAAAATTGATAATGGGCAAGAATTTGTTGGTATTCCCTAACACAAAAATATTGCAGAAAAAGATAGCAAAGCGTAATTTTCCTGAGAATTATATTCCAACAAAAGGAACGTTTTGGTACACACCGGATAAGTCCTTTTTGATTTGTGGTTGTCTTATGGGAATATTTGATGAAATGCTTGTATGAGACTTCTATGTGTTTTGTGTAAAAAGAATAATATGGATGAGGCATTTAGTTTAAATATTACTATACTATCTGGCACTAGGTGCCTAACTTAGTGATATTAAGGCAAAGTGAGTATAGAAGAATATGAAATCAATCACAACATATTGACTTTTACTTACTTGCATATTAGATACATGATTTCCATATTTTTTTATATGATTTGATTGGTAAAGTTTGTATTATTGAACCATGTTAGTTGCCATAGAAAATATTGGAGAAGTGTTTTAATCCTTGGTTTTCAAAATTTTATAATAGCATATCTCAGTAGTGAAAAAAAATGTTTAATTCTTGAAACTTTGGAATTGTTGGAAAAAGTGACAATTTGCTAAATAACAAAACCATCTATAAAGAGCCATTTGCAATCTCTAATAACAATGTGCAAAACAAAATTACTAAGTGTTCTCATTCACACATCATGCAGAATATAAATTTGAGCCGTAGGAATTTAATAACTAGGAGTTAAAACAGAATTTCTTCCAAAAGTGACATCTGCCCAATTATGCCAATAGAGGTATTTAAAAATCTACCATCTTTTTTCTTATATGCATATACGTAGTCAATCATTTTGCACTTAATAAAAAAGTTGTAGAAAACGTATCATGTATTCACTATTACAAAATGACTATTCGACGATAAGTTTTATACATCGGTTTGGTTAACAATCAATGTATATAGAGTGTGGCGGTCACAATATTATAAATAAATGTAAAATTTTTTACATCAGATTAGTAATGATTGATGTGAAAAACAAAACTAGGCTATTCTATATCGGTCATGATAGAACCATTGTAGTATTGTGTACATATCCATTTTATTTTTCTTCCATCGCACTCAATCTCTTTCTCTAAACATTCTTCTCACCATTCTTTTTATCTGGTGAATACCATTGTCTTCTTGTTTCAATGACGAACCCTAACACTGGAAAAAATCTCTCTTCCCTAGCTTTTTCCTTTTCCCTTTTCATCTTCCTATAGCGCATCCTTCCCTTTTCTTCCAACTCTTCAATATTCCTAATGTTCTCTCTATTGGTACTTTCTTGTCTCCGTTCGATATACACCAATGGACTCATATGTCAACGTCGTTTGCTCCCTCTTCACTAACCCTAACTCTTCGCCATTGGTAGTGTTCATTTGTTCTCTTCTCCCTAGCTAAAACTGTCTCAACAACATTGATTACATGTGTTTTTTTTTTTTTTCTCTCCTTGATCAAGGAATGTGTGCCTGGAACTGTTTGCTTTCTGGTAATGGTAGGTTTTATTATTTTGAATGTTCAATGTGTTGAGTGTAAATTAAGATTGGGAAGTTAAAGATGTAGATGAAAAACTGTGGTAACATTTAGTGTGTCACTGCTTTCTGCAAATATTCTAATGACTAATTATGCAACTTTGACTGAGTTTATGCATATTGCTCCATGAATTAAGGTAACATTAGGAATATTGCTTCTGAGAGTAGAGTACCAAAAGTTGTTATTTTGAATGTGGATATTTTGGTAGGGGTTGATGGTGAAGATGAAAGAGATGGGGTAAGTGAAGAGGAATGAAAAGATGAAGCTTGTGATGGAAACATTTTGACTATTAAGGTTCCGATTGTAGAGGCAACTAATAACATGCATATTAAAGTGGAAGACTTGAGTGATGAAGGCATTTTAGGAAATAAATCGATATGTAGTTTGATATGTTTCCTGAAATTCCTTTATCACTCAAGTCCTTGCTCCATTTTTACATCCATGTTGCCACTTGTCTATCCAATTGGGACCTTTATAGTCGTAATGTCCCCATCACAATCTTCATTTTGTGCTTCCTCTTCACTTTCCCCATCTCTTCCATCTTCCCTAGCAATCCCTAGTGAAATATCCACATTCAAAACAACTACTTCTGCTACTATACTCTCAGAAGCAATATTCACGGTGTTCCCAAATTCATAAAGTAAGCACTCCACAAACATAATCAAATTGCATAATTAGCAATGAGAATATTTGTAGAGAGCACTAACACACTACTGTTACTACAAATTGTCATCTCCACCTTCAATTTCCCTAACTTATTTACATTTAACATAAAAAAAACTCTAACATTTCCATCTCAACTTTCAAAATAAAAATCCCTACAACAAAGCAAATAGTTCCACACATATTTTAGATTGAGGGGGAGAGGAAAAAAAGGCACATGTAATCAATGTTGCTAAGACAATTCCTAATTGAGAGGAAGAGAAAAAAAAAAAAAAAAAAAGGCACGGATAATGGTGATGTGTTGGAGTCAGTAAGAAAGGAGTGAACGACGTCGTCACCATATGAGTCCAATGATATATGTCAACATATGAGCCCAACATATGTCTATTTGACAGAATGACCTATCAATAGGGAGAACGTTAAGACAAGTGAAGAGGAGAAAAAGAAGAGCGAAGGTGGGTTGAAGAGGGGAAGACAAGAAGAGGGAAGAAAAAATCTTACCAGTGTTAGGGACTATTAGTGAAGAATGAAGACAGTGGTGTTCACTAAAGAAGAAGAATGATGAGAAAAAAGTTTTGAGAAAGAGATTAAGCCCGACTAAGAAAATGAAAATGTAGGATATCTGAACAAAACTACACTTTTTCTATAAAGAACCAATGTGGAATACTTTGGTTTTGATATTTTACATCAATCAAATGCTAACCAAATGAAAAACTATTTGCATTTATTTACAAAATTACAACTGCCACACTTTTTGCATTAATTGTTAACTAACCGTTGAAGAAAGCCCGTCGTAGTATAGTTTTTTTTTTTAGTGTATTCAAAAAAAAAATTATGACTTTGTTAATATGTGCAAAATGATTGACTATCTATATAACATTAAAAAAAATACATTTCTTGACATTACTATTTAAGGGTGACAAAATGAGTTATGACCGGTACGTCGAGTTAAAAATTTTAGTCTATCACTTGACTTGTCCTATCTTCCTTGTCATGGGGGTTCAAATGGCAAGCTAGGAAAAGTTGGGCTGCTAGCCTATTTAATTAATATTTTATATTATTATTTTGTAATTCATGGTGTATGTGTCACTTTGTGTTGAGGTATAGTTTTATTTTTGAAAGACTATTAGTACATGTATTGTAATTCTTGAGGATTCGTATAATTTTTTATATCTTAAAGATTATGGGCAATAATCTTGATTTAAAAATAATAACTTTTAATAATTTATAATTTATTATTAGATTTGTAATCTTGAAATTGAAAGACAAATTTTAAATCATGGATATTTTAATTAAATTTGTCATTTGCTATTAAAAAATAAATTTGTTAATTTAAATTAATGATAAAATAAAAGAAATATATTTTTTAAATTTTGACTGGTTAGCCTGCCAATCCACCAACTTGGCCCTAGGTGGGGTTAGCCAAGATTTATAGCTTGTTTTTATTGGCCAAGAATTGAAAGCTTTGATATTCAAACATCAAACTTACTAAATCCATTCAAGTGGAATCACACCATCAATCCCTCCTCATGAATCTTCCTTGAAATGAACCTAATCATCGATCCGATCCTTTTCACTACATTCTCTTTGAGCTACGTGATCTCCTCCTTCCTCACCATGTTAATTAGGGATGACAATAGAGCAAAGTGAGTATAGATTTTAATATCTTCATCTATGTTCTTATTCCAAGATTTTATACCCATCTTTATCCCCCATATTTGACAGGTATACAATTTGCATCATATCTTTATACCTATCAGGTATTGGATATATATATCCATACTCATCTTGTATTCACTTAAAAATTAATTAAATATTCTTTTACAAAAGAAATATAAAAAAGAATTTCAATAGAGTAATAGTTATAAAATTATTTAACATAAATTTAAAATAAAGAAAGAATAACATAAATTCCAAGTAAATTATATAATAAAAAAAAATATAACTTTTTAGAAATTTAAAACAGTATAAATATAGGATATATATATATATATATACTCTTATATTGGTCTTCCTACCAGATTTAATAAATTACGCATTATTCATACTTTGTTCGATTAAATCAAATATTTTATGGCAAAATCAAAATGAATTTAAAAATTATCCACAATACAAATTTACTCATCAATATCCTTCTGCTTGCCACACGTTCCGGTGTGAGGCAAAGATCTCCGCCATGCACGTTTGTCTATTAGATGCCAATGAAGAAGGGAAGTTTACTTGGGAGTTGCCAACCGGTGCTGACGTAACTACTAGAGAAAAACAATGTACATGCCACTTATGATCGTTCTAGTTTTTTTTTTTTTTTTTTTTTTTTTTTTTTTTTCTTATTGAAGGCTCCACTTGTTCTTTTTTGTAATTTGCCAGGGTCTTCTTTTGTACTCACCTTCAAGTCATAGATATCTTTCTTTTTAGCCTTTGCAAGATATGGATTTCCAGATCTGATTTGATCAGGTATATATGTTAAGTGGATTACTTTGTAGATCTGTAGAAGTAAGAAAAATAAAAAGAAAAATAAAAATAAAAATGGAAGAAGAGGGAATTTTATTATATTAGTAAGTGTGTCCTACATTAATTTTAGTATTAGTAGCCTTATTAGTCATTTTTTTTAATATTTTTTTTTGTAATTTATTAAATAATATATTGCGTTAAGTACAAAGTTTATGAAACAAGTGAAAATAGTCAAATTTCACCATGTATTCAATTATCGTCGCGAGGTAAAATAAACTAATGGGAAAGGTGGAAAACTATTATGTAACTATTAGATGGTACTTTCCTATCGAATTGCTGGTCTTGTAGTGCCTTTCATATTTTACCAAAGTCGGACACCTAACAATATATAACATCACAACCACACTAGCTAATATAACATCCCAACCACACTATATATATTTCACATATTATCTTTGGAATTCACACGATACGATAGTTTTGTTCCCAAGAGCAAAGATATTTATTAAAAAAGGTCTGATAATTCCATAAATTAATTTTGGTAACCTAAAAAACATATTAAAGAATTCATCCAAAATTTTCCATTTTTTTTCATATTTATAATCATAAAAGAAATACAATTTAAAGAGGGGCTAGTAAAGAGTAGAAACCATGTTTACTTGTTTAGAATCCTTCCTTCACATTGTAGATTAAGTTTTGACATGTTAATTGCTCATTTTTTTTATGTAGAAATCTGCATACTGTTAGCTACTCAATTATACACTGCGGTACATACATAGAACTTATATAATGTCTGGATTGACTTAATAATCAGTTATTTTTTCTTATCGAAAGCATATCAACAAATTAATAGTTGATTTTATTCTTTCGATTTTAGAATAGAATTGATTTCAAGTGTCAAGTGCTTCCAAGTGTCTGGATTGACTTATACTATCAGTGAATTTGGATCACTAAAACGCCGAGGTATCTATATCTTTGCTGCATCTGATTAACTTTGAAAATGCTCATCAGTTTCACTTTTCTAGTTTGTTGTTTATATTATATAATTAATTCGCTTTATAATTCACTCAAAACTATAGTTACTAATTACTATGTTCGATGTCATACGCACGCATATATAGAGGATAAGGATGAAGACTACATATCAAGTACTGTTATGTGGTTTGGAACTCATGAATGTACTTGTTTCTTGTGTACAACATCATCATCATCCAGAAGAGTTTAGTTACGTTACCAATATAAGAAAACCCACCAAATGCGTAGGAATCAAGAGGGTATAAAACAGTCAATAACCCGTGGCTTCACATGTAAGTTTATGTAAGTAGGATAGATTGAAAGCGTGAATAGCCGGAGTAGGGATTACTTTATGGCTTATACACACATGGGTTTAGTTTCTCCTACGAGAGAAAATGCGTGACAAAGACATAGGACCGAGTGGACATGTTTTTCTTGCATGATTGCACTGAAAAGGAATTTATGGGAAATTACATGAGAAGCATTACTGTTCAAGTCACCATACTCCAAGCAACCCCTTTTATTTAAACTGGTCTCATTTTCTTCCAATCTTTCACCTACTATGACCCAACAGTAGCACACACATCACCCAATGGGATGGCTTCAGTCCCTTCTCTGTCCATTGAAGAAGATCTGGGATCGACTTCACTCAAGCCATAGAAAGAGTAAGCATGCATTTTAATTTCAATTTTAGACACATTTCATAGTTCATACCATAAATGATTCAATCTTAAATTATGCAATTGACATTTTTTCTCCTTCAATTTGTTTTCGTTTATCAGCTTTTGTTACCTTAATTAAATATGTTAATATATATTTGCATTATTGATTCATAAACATAGCAATTTCATATATTCATATCATTGGTCTTCATTTTATTCAGAAAAATAATACCTATAAGTTTTTTATTTGTTTTGTAATATAGGGAGCGGAATATACATTCTCTATAAAGATGTGAAGTCTTGCCCTTGCGAAGATGTGCATGTCCTCTGGTCAATATTGGTGGAGTCAGGCGCGATCCCTACTTCTTTGCCATCAAAATGATCGAGTCTAATTTACCATAGTAATTAAAGAGAGAAAATATTGATGTAGTTTCCTTTTAACTCTCTAGTACATGAAAATGTACATCATTTAAGTGCTCGATTTCTAGGTGGTTTTGTATTTGTATTTCTATAGATTCAATGAAAGTGGTTTCCGATATTTCAGAGGCTGAACGAGTTGTAAATTGCTCATCGCTTCTTCAATTCTTTTACCCCCAAAGTAAATCATACTTGTAAATTGGTGATATATATAACGGCGCCAAAAACTTGTTGAGATTTCCCGTTAAAACTACTTTTGTTATCATTATAAATCACTTTAATTCTATCAACGGTCTCAAACACGGCAAGTATACAGCCGTTCAAGTAGTAAAATTATCGTATCCACAGGGATTAGTAGGTAAAATAAGCATTTATTAACTATTCGTGACTAAAGAATAATTCCAATTTGTAGTTGTCATGTGAAGATTAATTGAAGATCATGACTACTGGAATGTCAACTATAAAAAATATTGGTTTGTGTGTGGAAAAGGGATAAAAATGGTATTATGGTTTTATGAGATTGTGGGGTCAGATTTCACCAAACGTCAAACTAATGAATCCTTAATCTCTTGTTACATACATTGCTTAGTCAACCCATAAGTTTACTCAAACCTAATCTATTAGAGCAAAAGCCTAGGTGCGGATATTTAATATCAATTCCTTGAGTACCCAATATCTACACCCGCATTACGGGCTAGGGTTTAAGACTACTAATGGGTCAAGCTCTATCCCTAGATACATTTCCCACTAGGCATTTGTTTCAGAGCTAGTTTCAATGGTTATTTTCCAACACCCAATGGAACCTATATCATGCAAAGGAGATTCAATCCAGAGCAAACATTAAGAATAGAAACATACACAATAATGAATGAACAACATGTATATATATATATATCATTGAAAACGTAAGGATTACAATAGAATTCGTTGGTTACATCTAACCCCACAAAACAATGGGTAGAACCACTCAAAACAATGAGGGTAAACACAAAATAGAGATGAAGAGAGAATGAAGAACCGAAAGAAAGACCCACACACGAATGGCTCCAAGCTCCGGGAATCCCTTCCACAGCTCCTAAAACGCGCCCAATGTGTGAATGAGGAGAAAACTCTTGAAAGTTTCTTCAAATACGAGCTTGAGGAGTCAGATTAGGGTTATTCGCCCGGCGCATAAGTCTTCGCGCCCGGCGTAGGGCCTTCCAAGAAGGTCAAGTACTCTCTGCCTCAGGACACGCCCGGCGCAATGCCTTCCAGAGAGTTTGAGATACTCTCTATCTCGATCACGCCCGGCAAGGGTAGTCTCGCGCCCGGCGCAGCTATGACTTGCAGAGGTGAGAAACTCTGTTTCGCTCAAGCCTGGCGCGGGTCATCTTGCGCCCGGCGCAGTCACTCTTCTCTGCTCCTTAGCTTCTTAGATTTCCAATCCTATAGGTCTTCAATCCTCAAGTCTTTAGCTCAATACCTGCACAAAATGAGGTGTATTTAGGTATTGTTAGCTAAATTTGGGTTAGTTTTATCTGCACACTGTAATATCCCAAATTTTATTAAATAAAACAGGTTATTTTGATTTTAAATATTTATTGAGATTATTAGAAAGTTTATCATATTTTTATATACGTATTTTACTATTTATATATACGTATTTTACTATTCACATATACGTATTTACGTATTTATGAATAGTAAATATATTATTATTTTAATAAATAGTGATTTCCAAAAACAAGAACGTAAGCACTTACGTTTGTTTCAAATTATTATATTATTTTTTAATGAATAGTAATTTATAATATTATAATAATGAATAGTGCATAGTAACTTATAATATTATTTTAATGAATAGTGCATAGTGCATAGTAACTTCAAAATTTCTATAAATAGGAGCCTAAGGTTTTGAAAATTCAGAATTCTAGAGAGAAGGAAATTCTGGAGAAATAGAGAGAGAAAGTAAGAGAGAGAGAAGGAGAAAGAAAAGGAGGTTCTGCTCTAGTGCCTTGTTTAAGGAGAAAGAGGAAGAGATTCTGCCCAAGTTTTTAGAGAGATATTGCACTAGTTTCAACTCCTACTTATCTAGGTAAGGGGGAGGAGAACCTTATCTTTTTAAAATTTTATATACTATTATGTATA